AGCGTATTCATCCTAATGTAAAATTAACGGTCGCCTGAGGGCGCTCTACGACCATTGTCATCGTATCTGATCGCAAAACGCTGCTAAGGAGAGTTTAAAGATATTAAAAATAATAAATACATAAAGTTTGTGTTACATGTCTGTGTGTAATATGTGTTTATTTTTGTTGCCAGTATTTTAATTGTATCTAATTATTATGAACATATTAAGCTTTACAAAACAAAATTAGGCCTAATAATATGCCATCAATGAAACAACAAAGCTGGCGCGGAGGTATGTATAATTACAATATAAAGTCATAGTGAGTGTTGTTGTTATTAGTATTATTTTCTAAAATAAGGTACATGTAATATAAATGTACATATGTGATGATGTTTCTGCGACAGCTCCTGCTCTGACGTGCAGTGTAGAGCCCTGCGCGGGACTGTTTTCTTAAACCCGCACCCGCCCGCCCGCTCCCGCTGAATGTATGACCAGGACCGCCCGCTCCTGCAATCTATGTGTTCCACTCCCGCCCGCAATGTTTGTGTCCACTCCCGCCCGCTCCCGCGGACTTTATCTCAGAGCTTGTGAAAAATGTACACAAATACTCAAACTAAATATTGGTTCAAGTTAACATCCAGAATAACAGACTTTAAACATGATTGCGTTTAAATAAGATTAAGTAACCAATGCTAAACCAAAGCACCACACATGACAAAAACATTGGGTATTTTTTTATTAGCTTATAAAACATTAACCATTAAAACAAAACAGCAACTAGCGGCACCTCAGTTTTTAAATGCAGGCCAGGCCTACTGCATACACACACACCAAACAATTAACTAGGAAATATCTTTAACATTAAATAAATAAACACAGAAAACTTTGAAAATAGGCTAGATATAATTGTAACAAATTAAATACAAAACTAAATAAATAAAATAAATAGAATGCTTAAAAAAAATCTCACAGATTTCACATTCACAATAGCTTGCTTAACAGGCTATTGCAAAAAAGAAAAAAAAAAAAAAACCGTAGACTACTAAACAAACAAATGAATTTGATCACTGGGCCTTGCTTTGCTTACTCCATATTACTATGAAGGAAAAGTATATTGCTGACTGACTGCGGTCCCAGACTTGTGCGTCTTTCTTCCAAGATCCGCCCACACACACTGAATGCCCTCTCTGAAGGCGCACTAGATGCGGGAATGCTCAAAATAAAATGCGCAAATTTTGAGAGGACAGGAAAGCGCTCTTTGTTGAACTTCCACCACTGAAGCACATTGTCTGGATCTGGTTTGTCCGCAAGTCGGCTGCCAAGATATTCTGCTATTTCAGCGTCGATGGGCTTTGGTGCTGAAATGCAGGATACGTCTTCCCAGTCTGTGAATCGGTCAGCGTAGCTTTGCTTTTTGGCTGGTGGTGGTTCATCCTGTGCTGTGGCCAGGGGGTCCTGGTCAAACTTCATCTTTTAGATAATTAAGTAAACAGCCGCTTTAATTTTCTTCTCAACTTCTTGTGTTGACTCCATTTCTACTACACGCCAAATCCCATCGAAAATTTTCTGACCGCCCACTCCCGCCTGTAGCAAATGTTAAACCGCCCGCTTCCGCGAGATTTGTGTTGGGTCCCGCGGGAGCCCAAACCCAATGCAGCCCTCTAGTGCAGTGTATATGTCAGTGTCCGAATTCGTTCACTTAATTTCGTTCACTCCTTTCTGATATAGTGCACTCAACTGCCATACACTATTTCATGAGTTCGCACTTACATATAATCGGATTGAGCAAATAGTAAGCATATTTGGCGTGCTGTCCCGAGGGAGGGCTCCGAGCCCGAAATATAGCCCAAACCCAGACAACCCCCCCCATCCCTAGTCTGGGATGAGAATAGTTAAGAGTGAGGAGTTGGGGTGGAGGAGGGATGCCGGAAAACTGTTGTGGGACAGTGTTGATTTGGCTGTATTGTGCTAGTTAAGTTGATTATCTAGATGATCTCCACCTGTGCTGAATTGATTGATTATCTGAACCTGCTCCTCCCGAACCTTGTTAATAAAACATCAAATAGGGATTAGTGAACGAGTGAGCGATTTCGGACACAGTTTAAGTGTTACTAGAAAGCTTCAGGCAGGTGAGTTTTTATCAAGGTTGCAGCGAAACTCTCCAGGACAGAAGTTGACCACCCCTGGTCTAGACTTAAAAATACTTAATACAGTACAACCCCCCCAAAAATTGGGACGCTGTATAAAATATAAATAAAAACAGAATCCAATGATTTCCAAATCATATAAACCTTTATTTTATTCACAATATAACATAGAAAACTGAGGAAATGTATAATTTTTAAGGGAAAAAAATATTTTGAATTTTGAATTTGAGCAACTTTGAAGTGTTGTCATGTATTCAGCTTGGAATAAAAAATTGCTAAAGACTCTATCACTGCCTTGTTTGTGATCATAAGAGTGTAGTGTTGGATGACTAAAACCCATCTCAGACGCTCAGAGTGAGATAGTAACATTCAACCTAGGCGACCTGAAGCAGCAAGCATGTTTGACTGCCAAAGTTCAGTTCATTTGTCTAGTGTGTTCGCGCCATACCTTGCCGTACCATGCTTGAAGAGGAGGGCTTATTTGGACTCAGGCATGGTACTCATGTAGTCTGAGCTCTAACCGTGCCAGAGAACTGAATGGCTACTACTTGCATGCAACGCCATAAAATAGAATACACAGAATAAAACTGTGAATTAAATTCTAGGTCTAATTCTACTTGAGAAGTAATAATTTTGCGAAAAATATTTTAAAATATGCACACATGCACTTTTACAATTTGGCCATTTCTAATAACTGGGGAGGACAGTAGCACATACAGTGGGGAAAAAAGTATTTAGTCAGCCAGCAATTGTGCAAGTTCTCCCACTTAAAAAGATGAGAGAGGCCTGTAATTTTCATCATAGGTATACCTCAACTATGAGAGACAAAATGAGAAAAAAAAATCCAGAAAATCACATTGTAGGATTTTTAAAGAATTTATTTGCAAATTATGGTGGAAAATAAGTATTTGGTCAATAACCAAATTTCATCTCAATACTTTGCCAACAAAGGGTATATAACAATGACAGAGGTCAAACGTTTTCTGTAAGTCTTCTCAAGGTTTTCACACACTGTTGCTGGTATTTTGGCCCATTCCTCCATGCAGATCTCCTCTAGAGCAGTAATGTTTTGGGGCTGTCGCTGGGCAACACGGATTTTCAACTCCCTCCAAAGATTTTCTATGGGGTTGAGATCTGGAGACTGGCTAGGCCACCCCAGGACCTTGAAATGCTTCTTACGAAGCCACTCCTTCATTGCCCGGGCGGTGTGTTTGGGATCATTGTCATACTGAAAGACCCAGCCACGTTTCATCTTCAATGCCCTTGCTGATGGAAGGAGGTTTTCACTCAAAATCTCACGATACATGGCCCCATTCATTCTTTCGTTTACACAGATCAGTCGTCCTGGTCCCTTTGCAGAAAAACAACCCCAAAGCATGATGTTTCCACCCCCATGCTTCACAGTAGGTATGGTGTTCTTTGGATGCAACTCAGCATTCTTTCTCCTCCAAACACGACAAGTTGAGTTTTTACCAAAAAGTTATATTTTGGTTTCATCTGACCATATGACATCCTCCCAATCCTCTTCTGGATCATCCAAATGCTCTCTAGCAAACTTCAGATGGGCCTGGACATGTACTGGCTTAAGCAGGGGGACACGTCTGGATTTGAGTCCCTGGCGGCGCAGTGTGTTACTGATGGTAGCCTTTGTTACTTTGGTCCCAGCTCTCTGCAGGTCATTCACTAGGTCCCCCCGTGTGGTTGTGGGATTTTTGCTCACAGTTCTTGTGATCATTTTGACCCCACGGGGTGAGATCTTGCGTGGAGCCCCAGATCGAGGGAGATTATCAGTGGTCTTGTGTGTCTTCCATTTTCTAATAATTGCTCCCACAGTTGATTTCTTCACACCAAGTTGCTTACCTATTGCAGATTCAGTCTTTCCAGCCTGGTGCAGGTCTACAATTTTGTTTCTGGTGTCCTTTGACAGCTCTTTGGTCTTGGCCATGGTGGAGTTTGGAGTGTGACTGTTTGAGGTTTTGGACAGGTGTCTTTTATACTGATAATGAGTTCAAACAGATGCCATTAATACAGGTAACGAGTGGAGGACAGAGGAGCCTCTTAAAGAAGTTGTTACAGGTCTGTGAGAGCCAGAAATCTTGCTTGTTTGTAGGTGACCAAATACTTATTTTACAGAGGAATTTACCAATTAATTCTTTAAAAATCCTACAATGTGATTTTCTGGATTTTTTTTTTCTCATTTTGTCTCTCATAGTTGAGGTATACCTATGATGAAAATTACAGGCCTCTCTCATCTTTTTAAGTGGGAGAACTTGCACAATTGGTGGCTGACTAAATACTTTTTTGCCCCACTGTATACAAGCAGTATGTATGTGTTACTGTCATCATTACATCAACACTTCTATCTATTAGCAAGAGCGTTTTTAATTTATTTAATTAATTTATTTAAAAAAAAAAGTTGCATCGGAATGACATAAGCATGCTCAGAAATGGAATGCTAAAGTGCAATGTGAGTCCAGGCCACTCTTGCTCGGTATTAGTGTCAGTATGCCCTGAGTTAGTGTTAATGATACTGTGTTGGACCTATGTACACCCTGCAGACAGTGATAGTGTGTAGATGCTAGAGACCTGATGCTCACCTGTGTATTGGGGTAGTGATAGTAGCTTCTTGACGGGAAGCCGTCACCATGCTCTGGGAGAGGAATTACCTCAAAGTATTGAATTGTGTATTCAGTGTTTTCAAGAAGGGAATTACCCCGAGGTACTGTAGTACTGTATTGTATTGTTTTGACAACAGTCAACAAAAGTTGACTAAATTGTCATAAGTGGATAGCAGATTGAGTTTTATGAAAAGTTGTTTTATTTCCAAACAACACTTGGTGAGTTTTTCTACTTGTTTTCTTAGTGACTTACATTGTAGCAACTTGTTCCTGGTCCCGGGAACCATGTTGGTGAATGTGACTGTGGAAATCAACAGACATGAACAGTGAATTATCATGTCAATAGAAAAAGATCCTGCATCTACTTCTAACAATGTTCTACATGATGTCATGTTATACATGCATTACTGTAGTGATTAGTTTTACTATATGGTCCGCTTTCCATTCATACAGGAATCTAAATCACAATATAAAATGTGGCATAATGTGGTAAAAACAATGACAAAAAAACCTTCATGTGCAGAATATTCACAATTTAACAATGACAGAGTAATCCAAGGAGAAAATAATATTTTTAAGTTTTTCTCCCCCATAGACAGGTGCAAAGGAGTTTTTTGGTCTGGTTCTCATGAGAGCACCTGGAGATTTGGTTTGGTGTTCACACTGCATATAATGTGACCCATTAAATATAACTATAAAAATATAATAATTAATAATAGTAATAATAGTTTATTATTGCACTTTATTTACCCAGTGCATTTTTTATTTTGGTCGTGCATGCACACCTGCGCACCACTTATGTGCACCCCTGCCCATAGAAACCTAAATCTTTAGACAGTGGTCAAGTAATAGAAGAATCCATGTTTCAGGTGTCCCTAGAATGTGTCTGTGAAATTTCAGCTCAAAATACCCCACAGATCATTTACAGTGCATCCGGAAAGTATGCTTCACTTTTTCCACATTTTGTTATGTTACAGCCTTTTACCAAAATGGATTAAATCCATTATTTTCCTCAAAATTCTACAAATAATACCCCATAATTACAACATGAAATAAGTTTGTTTGAAATCTTTGTTAATTTATTAAAAATAAAAAAAACTCACATTTACATACAGGAAAGGACTTTATGTATGACCAAGTATGGTGTCCCATACTTGAAATTTGTGCTCTGCATTTAACCCATCCAAGTGCACGCACACAGCAGTGAGTAGTGAACAAACACACACACACACACACACACACACCGTGAACACACACCCGGAGCAGTGGGCGGTTTACAAGTCCAACTCTATAACCATTAGGCCACGACTGCCCCTAATAAGTATTCACAGCCTTTGCCATGACACTCAAAATTGAGCTCAGGTGCATTCTGTTTCCACTGAACATCCTTGAGATGTTTCTACAACTTGATTAGAGTCCACCTGTGGTAAATTCAGTTGATAAGGCATGATTTGGAAAGGCACACACCTATCTATATAAGGTCCCACAGAGCACAAACCAAGCCATGAAGTCCAAGGAATTGTCTGTAGACCTCAGAGACAGGATTGTATCAAGGCACAGATCTGGGGAAGGGTACAGAAAAATTTCTGCAGCATTGAAGGTCCCATTGAGCACAGTGGCCTCCATCATCTGTAAATGGAAGAAGTTTGGAACCACCAGGACACTTCTTAGAGTGGGCCGCCTGGCCAAACTGAGCGATCGGGGGAGAAGGGCCTTAGTTAGGGAGGTGACCTTGGCCTGAATGGCAAGCGTCATGTCTGGAGGAAACCAGGCACCGCTCATCACCTGGCCAATACCATCCATACAGTGAAGCATGGTGGTGGCAGCATCATGCTGTGGGGATGTTTTTCAGTATTGAACAATACACAATATTTCAGTACACAATACTTTTGTACGAGTTATTTAAAAAAAAAAGTTATTTAAAAAGTTTTTTTTAAATTTTTTATTTATTTTTTATTTTTATTTTTTAATAAATTTGCAAAGATTTCAAACAAACTTCTTTCACGCTGTCATTATGGGATATTGTTTGTAGAATTGAGGAAAATAATTTAATCCATTTTGGAATAAGGCTGTAACATAACAAAATGTGGAAAAACTGAAGCGCTATGAATACTTTCTGGTTGCACTGTATTATTCCATGCTGAAAATTACCTTTTTAACAGAAGCAAAAACACAGTTTTCGTGCATGTCTCTTTAAATGCAAATGAGCTGCTGCTACTTCCCGCCCCCTTTCCAGAAGAGGGCTGTGCCGTTACAGCTCGTACCTCTTGATACTCAAAAACTAACAAAACATCAGTTTGGTTTTGATTATTATGTCTATTGTGATCACGCGACATTGCAGTTCACATAAGTTCACACAAACAGCTGGAAAACAAATCGCATGTGTATATTATTAGAGCTGCGTCACCGCAGTATAATATACAGTACCTACTGCGGTCTGTGCTGTAAATACAAAACAAACACAATAAAAATAGAAAAGCACTCACTGCTCTTGACTGTTTAACTTAAGTAGCTTTATAAGTATAAATTCTTGTTTTATAAGCTTTATAGGAATAAATGCTCTGGCGAGGAGGTAAACATGGCAGACTGTGTACAGCTCATTCGAGGAGGAGCTAAGTTAATAAGTCAGAGATTGTTACCAGTCATAGGCGGGGCTTTTACCAATGTGATGTCACTTTGGAGCACATTCCTGAACGGCTCATTTTGAGACACTGTTTTTGATTAATGGGGAAAATAAAAGTGTTTTTTTTTTTTACTGCATTTTTCAAAACAAAGATTGCATAGCATATGCAAATAAATTACCATTCATTTTCCAATATGAATGATATTTTATTAATTATAATCTTCAAAGAGTAATTCACATGAGTACCTGTCACATTTTCAGTTTTTTTTCCCAGTGTTCATGTCTTTTCAGGTTTTCAGTTTTATCTTCTTGTTCTAGTATGATTGTTATTGCTAATTGGTTCTAATCTGCTCTGTTTCCATGGTGACACATTGCTTGATTGATTCAGTTCTTGTGAGAGTTGTATTTTATAACAACCACTGCTGCCTGACAGTACCAGAATTATGAAAATACAGCCTTTTTGCGAAAAAAAAAAGGCCAAAAAAAGCCTCTTGCTAATGCAAAAGCAGTTACATGAGGCAAGATGTGAGCAAATAAATAAAACTACATAAAATAAAGATGAAAATAAAACAGTAGCCTAATCTTTGATCATTATTATGTGTTTTTAAAGTAAAAACAGATGAAAACATGGTAACATTTAGCGAGGCAGACCTCTTTATTTTTATTTTTTTTTCAAATAAACATTGATTGACCAATATGTGTCTCATGCTTAAGAAGGATATGAGATAATTCCTCTGTTTATTATGAAAATTTCCATTAATACATGGATGCCATGTTTTAGTTAAAATTATTAAAGATCATAAAAATAAATCACTGATGTTTGGTTTCAAATACTGATTTTAAAAAATAGGTCTTAAATTCTTAAAAACATATTCTAATTGCATATTCATTCATTCCTTCAACCCTTGGTAACAACAGAATTAAAATTATTTTAAATAGGTATTATTTTAACAGTAAATATGGGCTACAGTAGGTCCATGTTTGTAGTGTTAAAAGTTGCAGTTTTAAAATATGTTAACAGTTTTTGAATATGTTAGACGAGTCAATCTTTTCTCACCTTGTTAGTTATGATGTTGGACTGGTTTTGCCAGTTTTAGCCATTCTTTTCCTCCTTACAATTGACGTTATTTCTCGCAATTTCTAGCTATCACACTGGTTATGCATCTCAGATAATTTACCAGCAATAAACAAAGCTTTCAATTAGATGTAATTTGTATGATCCTACAGCGCCATACATGTCTAATATAAAATGTGGGTTTTATCAGTCAGGGAGTAGAACAACCAGCAGTGAGATGTTTCTGGAGAGGCAAACAGGTCTACCTGAGAGGCTGGGGTCTGGGGATGGAGTCTCCATTCTCCCGGGAGCGCAGTTCGTGACAGCTCGTTGGCTGACCGGTTGTGCAGACCAGGAATGTGAATGGCACGAAGCGACCTCAGATGCTTCTGACTCCAGAGGAGGAGGTGGCGGGCGAATTGCAACATGCGATGGGAATGTAGACCACTTTGTCGGTTGACGTATGCAACGGTCGCAGTGTTGTCCGTGCGGACCAGTACGTGCTTGCCTTGTAAGCACCATTTGAGACGGATCAAGGCAAGGCGCACTGCCAGCAACTCTAGGCAATTGATGTGCCAGTGCAGTTGGGGGCCCGTCCAAACCCCCGACACTGCCGGTGGTAGAGGCATCCGTGTGAACCACAGGATGTCTGGAGACCTGCTCTAGGGGCACTCCTGACCGGAGAAACGCAAGGTCTGACCACGGGGTGAAGGTTTGGCGGCAGTCCAGTGTGACTCGGAGAGTGCCGCGTAGCCACGCCCACCTCAGGACTTGGCCATAGAGCCAGTGTTAAAGCGGTCTCATATGAAGTATCCCCAGTGGCGTAACTGCCGCTGCAGCTGCCATATGCGCCAGGAGCCTCTGAAAGTGTTTCAGTGGGACCGCCGTCCTATCCTTGAACATATTCAGGCAGTTCAACACCGACTGAGCTCGTCCTTGCATGAGGCGTGCGCGACCGAATCCAACTCCATACCGAGAAAAGAGATCCTCTCCAATGAGAGTTTGCTCTTTTCCCAGTTGACCCGAAGGCCCAACCGGCTGAGGTGCAAAAGCACCAAGTCCCTGTGTGCACACAACTGATCCTGAACTAGTACGAGCTAGCCGTCGAAATGTGAACGCTCTGTCCTCTCAGGGGAACAAGGGCTGCCTCCGCAACTTATGTGAAGACACGGGGCGACAGGGACAGCCTGGAGGGCAGGACCTCGTACTGATATGCCCGTACTGATATGCTCGTCCTTCAGACGCGAACCACAACAATGGTCTGTGGTACGGAAGGATCGACACATGAAAGTACGCGTCCTTCAGGTCGATCGCTGCAAACCAATCTCAGGGACGGATGCACCCAAAGATGCGTTCCTGCGTCAACATCTAGAACGGTAACTGGTGAAGAGCCCGGTTCAAGACACGCAGATCCAAGATCGGTCGTAACCCACCGCCTTTCTTGGGTACAACGAAGTAGGGACTGTAAAACCCCATCTCTATATCGGCTGGAGGGACTGGCTCTATTGCATCCTTCGCCAGTAGGACTGCGATCTCCGCACGCAAGACAGGAGCATCAGCGGCTTTCACTGATGTGAAGCAGATGCAACTGACCTTGGGGGGACGCCGGGCAAACTGAATTGCATAGCCGAGTCTGATGGTCCGCAGGAACCAGCGAGATGGTATGGGTAGCCAGGTACCCAGACACCACACAAGCTGGACCAGCAGGACCACTGACGTACCCGTGTTGGGGCAGAGAGGTGGAACGCAGGGACCTAAAGAGGTGTCTGAGTGTGCAGTGCAACACTTACCTGGTTCCACGGTTTGATGGAGGGTGCGTGAGTAGGGCCTTTGACAACACTCTTGAACTGCCCGCTGCTGCCTGCTGGCGAGATAGGAGGATGAATGTGGTCTGGTGTTGGTCCGTCCGCGACTCTCCATGCCCTCTTGGGACCCAGAGACAGAGAAACCCGCTCTCCTGTCGAGATTTTTGGAAACCAGATTCTCCACCCGGCCCTCCTCCGGGGAAGGGAGAGGTACATCCCTTTCTCTCTGGGTCGCCCATACCAAGGCCTCTTGCTCTTCCGCTCACCGCCATGTTGTCGGGGGCCTTGACGGGCGGGGCTGCCTGCCTACGCCAAGCTCCACAGCGCCGCTTGCTTGAGGCTGCTGCGGATGCGGCACAGGAGCGGGGGTGGACGCAGGGGGCCGCCCTCAGCGACGAGCAGGCTGGGTCGCTGCAGCCGGCAGACGGGTGGAGGCAGCAGCTGCCCGCCGGGGCAGGGTGTGACGACCCGCCTCAGTCTGCTTCTGTGCAGCCGAGAGCTGCTGGGCCAAGCTCCACAGCGCCGCTTGCTTGAGGCTGCTGCGGATGCGGCACAGGAGCGGGGGTGGACGCAGGGGGCCGCCCTCAGCGACGAGCAGGCTGGGTCGCTGCAGCCGGCAGACGGGTGGAGGCAGCAGCTGCCCGCCGGGGCAGAAGGTCAGACCGCCTCAGTCTGCTCCTGTGCAGCCGAGAACTGCTGGGCCATGTTCTCGACTGTGTTGCCGAAAAGGCCGGTCTGGGACACAGGGACCTTGAGGACCTGAACTTTGTCGGCTTCCCTCATGTCGACCAGACACAACCAGAGGTGACGCTCCTGGACCACAAGTGTGGACATCGCACGACCCAGAGAACTTGCGGTGACCTTTGTCGCTAGGAGCACGAGATCAGTTGCGGTTCGGAGCTCTTTTAGAACTTCCGGATCTTGACCACCCTCGTGCAGATCCCTCAGTGCTTTAGCCTGAAGAACCTGCAGTAACACCGTAGCGTGTAAGGCAGAGGCAGCTTCTCCACAGGCCGTATAAGCATCGCCAGACAGGCCAGACGAGTACCTACAGACCTGGGAGGGGAGGCATGGTTCGTCCTGCCAGGTGGAGGCGGTATTAGGACACAACTGCATCGCAACCGACCACTCCACTGGGGGGACCCCCGTATACCCCCTAGCTGCACCACCGTCGAGAGTGGTGAGGGAGGAGGAGTTAGCAGGTCGGTTTCCGGCAGAAAAAGGTGCCGTCCACAACCTGGAGAATGGAACCGGGGCGGGCGGGGCGCTGAGAACCAGCGCGGACCACCCCGACGAACCAATCGTCCAACCTTGAAGGCTCGGGACACGGTGAGCAACATGACGGTGTTTCGTTCTTGAATGAATCAACTGTTTAAATGATTCGGTTCGATCGCAATGACTCGCTTATTAAGAGTGATTTGCTGCCACCTGCTGGTGGTTTTAATTTAAAATTTTGGCTTTTTCTTTTTCTTTATAGATTTTTTTCATGTTTTAAATCATTTCAAATATCAGTATTCAACGTTTTATGTTTAATATATCAAAACATTATTTATGCATTTGTAATTGCAGGTTAAATGCATTCATGTCTTGCATTAAACAAAATACATGTGTGTAAATACATGTAAATGCCACTTCAGATGCAGCTTCTGTGTTGATTTAATTTGCTTGATAACAGCCCAAATGTCTTATTATTCTAATTCCCTGATTAAATGTAAGAATTTGACTCAAAAGATAATGGACACTTCTAGAAAAAAATGGCTTTATAAAGGTAAAAATGCCCATAAAATGTAAAAATCTGTTTAAACTTATTGGAAAATATTAATTTCTATCAGTATGAACTGACCACCACACAGAATATGAAGAATATTAAAAACATTAGGAGTCAGCTGTCTTCGGCAGTCCTTAAGGTACCAGCACAATAACACACTCAGCAAAATATCGTCTAATTATCGTTATCGATAAAATCCCAGAAAATATCGAGATATTATTTTTTGTCAATATTGCACACCCCATACTATCAGTGTGTCTGCTGTATTTCTAGCAATCTCAGGATGTACTGTAATTGGCATACATAGTTAATTCTTTTTATTTCTTATGTATTTTTATTACTCAAATTATTCTTATTGTATTATTCTAGTGCTCAAATAAATCACTTTGTTGTGGGGGGGGGGGGCTAGACATAGTCTCAGAAAAATGGTTGCATGAATCAAATTTTTCATGGTATCTTCTTCAGATTTGAAATAGAAACTCATGAGACATGTGACTTTCAACCCATTACTTTTCTGGATTGCTCCAGGACTGATTTAATGTATTTTTATTTGAAAGGGATAACAGGTTAAACCAGCTGCCATGCTTCAAAACATACCTAACCAGCATATGCTGTTTTTTATAACAGGGATGGAACCCTATTGGTATACATGTGTCAGCTAGGAAAGAACTAGAGAGAGGACACTCATGTATACTGGTGTCTGGCAGTTGAGCCTCTGTTCGACTTTTAAAATGGTGGTGGTGAGAATAGTGGAACAAAAAATAAAGTCAATTTCCAGTAACAATTCAGAGAAAGACTCCACAGCAGAGGAAATGAATACATGCATGGCAAGCACACAGACCTAGCAAAACTCTGACCCTCTCTCATTCTTATCACCCACAGCTGAGTGGTGTCACCTTGATTATGCCTTTGTTAGTATGTACTATCCCCACCGTGTACCTAATACACCTAATGGGTGGTTATTAATATAGTAGCTGTTCAAATAATGTATATGCTGCTGTGTGAACAGGACAGTTTGGTAGTTACACCTGTTTAATACAGTCCCAAACATAATTCTAAATACTAACAGTTTGAATATTGCAAATGTTTTGAGGAAATTAAAAAAAAGAAAGTATTTATAAAAATGTGCAGATGACACTTACTTGAAGAGAGTGGAGGGCTGACAGAATCACTGGCTTCACTCATTCCCACTTTACCCAATACAGTCCCAAACATAATTCTAAATGCTGAAAGTTTGAACATAGCAAATGTTTTGAGGAAATTTAAAAAAGAAAGTATTAATAAAAATGTGCAGACAACACTTACTTGAAGAGAGTGTAGGGCTGACAGTATCACTGGCTTCACTCACTCCCACTTTACCCACTATCCTGTAGCGGATCAGGTACTGCTTTCCAGATATCAATCCAGTCAGAGTAAAGTCTTCATCATCTGTGTCTACGACAAGCCACTGTTCCTCAGCTCCAGAATCTGCTTTCATCTGCTTGTACTCTACTCTATACTTCACTGTTTCTCCAGTTGGGGACTTCTGCAGTTTCAGGGACACAGTTTGGTCCAGAACATTCTTCACTATTGGTGTGGGTGGCTTGGACACTGGCTGGAACTGTGTATTTGTCAGAATCCCTTTTTCATACAGATAGATAGAGGAGCCAGGACTGGAGGAATCAGAAATTGCAGAAATAATGAAGCGCATTCTCGTTTCATCTTTATTGGCCTCTGAAAAACTTCTGAAGTGAGATACGTTTTCTCTCATTTTTGAAGTGAAATCATGAGCGTTGAATGATTTTTGGACAGAATATGTCAGGGAAAACTTGTTTTCCCCATCTAACTCTTTAAAGGGGTCAGATTTTAGAAACTCATTCAGGGTTGAAAGATATGGGTCTTTGTATTTCAGAGATGTGAAGGTCAAGCACACCACAACATCAATATCAGGATCAAGGAGGCTGAAGAGACTGTCTGAATCTTCAATTTGGATCCCCTTCAGTGTCTTGGTGTAAACACTCAGCGTGATGGTGAGCGTGTGAGCGCAAGTTGGAGCGCTATTAACACGGTGAAGAGACCAAAAAAAGGCCATGGAGTGAAAGAGCCATCTGGTTTTAAGCGAGCCGATTTGGTCCATCCCAGAAGCGATTGTTCTGTGTCTGTTTACAGAAATCTTACATAAATAAAATTGGAAAAAAAAGAAGGCTGAAATGTGACGTTTATCATTTTATAAAACTTTTTTTTTGTCAAAACTTGAACATTTGAACATGTTATGTTGTCACCCAACCATTATTTTTTGTTAATTTAAAATCTGTTGCTTTTTGACATAAAGCTTGTTGAAATTATTTTAGTGTTTTTCCAGCATATGTTAACAGTACAGTGATATGTTGGCACCGATAGCCTGGTGGGCAGCGCGCCAACATATAGCGCCATTGCCCTTTGGCCGGTCCGAAATTTGAGTACTGGCTTGCGGTCCTTCCCCAATCATGCCCCCCTCCCCTCTCATCTTGTCAAAATTAACATTATCCATATTTCGTTTAATTTAATTTCCTACCGTATTGAAGAGAAATGAAGAGGCCGTTGATCTGCCAGTCGTGGGTCTATCATGCCGAGAACTCTGCTCATGTTTGCATAATGATGCATTTAAAAGTTAATGACCAAATGTATCATTATAAAGTTCACAGTGTTGCTGCAGATTAAATATAACGCAGATAACATTAAATAAATATTTTTTCAACAGGTTAAATATTGATTAGTTATCATGCTAACCCCTTTCTCTACCTGACTGTTGGTCTCGCATATCCGCCATGTTTGTAGTTTTTTTAACACTTTTCATGTGTGTTTGTAGTAGGGATGCACCGATACCACTTTTTCCAGTACTCGCCCGATACCGATACTTTTATTTTTGGTACTTGCCGATACAGAGTACCGATACTGATATTTTTATTGCATTTGTACATTTTTAAAATATTGGGTACAGAAACCAAAAGGGTATGTATAATGTTAGTTGGTTAACTTCATTTATCAAATAGATACAGTCAAACCTAAATTTATTCAGACACCTTCAACATTTCTCACATTATCACAGTTTATTCGTTATAGTTTAGAAAATGGTAATAAAATATGACAAGAACTCAAGAGTTAAACTGGGTCAGAACAAATTCATCTTGATAATGTTAGATCATTTTGAAAGAAAGGTAAGTAATAGATTACAATCAACCAAAATAATTCAGACAGCTGTTAGTATGACAGTATTTACACAACTATCAATACTTTGTCGGGTGACCCTTAGCCTCAATGACAGCCTGTAGTCTCCTGGGCATGCTGTCACCCAGCTTCATGTAAACCTGAACTTCAGTTTTTTTTCCCCAGACTCGGTCGGAATAATTTTTGGTCCTAAATTTGTATAAATTTTACTCATAGTCCACTGTATGAATAATTTTTGGGTATGATTTGTCAGTTTACTTTATTTTGCTATCCTCACTTACATAAATTAACTATAGTGTTCTGCACCCACTAGTAAAAAAATATCAAAAATGATATCTGGTCTCTGAAT